AGCCAAAAGCATCTGTGACACAGTCGAATGACTTTTTCAACTAAAAGCCGCAATACTGATATTAAGTGTGATTTACCTGTAAACTGAGGGACTCTAGTGTAACACAGCACCATATCCCAGCAGGGTATTCTTTGTGTTTTACAGGTACAAGTAGAATTCATGGACTGAGCATTTGTCAAATATGGAGGCGACCCACTGAGTCACTTAGACGAAGGGCTGAGGAAATGCGATACCTTATACACGCACCTTCAGATGTAGGCATGTGTCACTTCACATGAACTCTGAGCCATATCGAGTAGGCATTCCTTTAAATCTACCCTACCTTGTACGCTGAATTATTGTTCGTATATACGTGATGACTTGGTGCGTTTCCTGGTTTGCCTATAATTACGGAATGTACATTATATTAGGGAACACAAATGGATTTTGTGAAAACCAGTGGTGTTCCTTTTCTAGTCTTAACTGATGTCACATTGATTGACACGATTAAAGGAATAGATTGTAACATGGTGTTTTCTGTAGCTGCGAAACATAGATACCTAGTTTCGAATTGACATCATGCGTCTAATCCTGTTAACCTACGGGCATAGTTTATCCTTCACGATACCTAGAAGTCAAGAGCAGACTGTCTTGGACAGACCTAGTTTTACTTTGTGACTAATTGGTGAGTCACCTGGTGTTGTGGTAGTAGAAAAAACAACTCCAAACCTTAGTATTTTCTAGATATGAACATATTTACTTACTTTGGCGACAATTTAATATTAGGGATATTAACCTTTACTTAGTAATTTGGATCCGAAAGTAAACGCCATATTACTAAGTTATTCAAAAGACAGAATGATGAGTGAAATAGTACTCGGATACTTATTCTAACGAAACCGAATAATGATAATCGTTTAGCCTACCAATATGCCGCTTACTTTCAGTCTTAATTTAAAGACAAATTTAGTTGCTCACTAAATTAATAGTTTCAGAAGACTGCTCTACTCCTGTCTTCGAAATACTTTGCCCGATCGTGTTTTACTTCAAAATATTTGTATACTGGCCAGTTGATGTTGCTTATCCAGTTACACTGTTTTTCAGTTAATGTCCCACCTATTTCCTATCAAACGAAATATCCCTCAAACCATCAACGAGTAGCCATCGTTTTTAAATAAATAACCTTAACTATTCGCATGTAAACAATGCTAATGACTTTATCACTTACGTGATGTTTCAACTTTCGATTAATCAGTTTTCCCATTCATGAGCACCTGTTTCAATTTTAACGGATAGTTCTAGCCTTTGACTACTGAATTAATACGTTTCGTTATATACCATCCTTACGAATTATAGGTACTAATAATAATCACTGCTAACAGATTTATCACGAGAACGAGAATGCACTCCATACTGACGACAATATACCTCAGAGGCGGTAGCATCTTCTAAACGCACTACTCAATACAACACATGACCCTAACTCTGTAGCTCACAACATTCTATAAAGTTAGTGGTGACTATTAACAAGTAGAATGTCTATTTGAGGTATAGGGAATATATTTATTAGTGATTCGACACAAAATACAAAATCAACGGTACTGGAAACCACTTTCTTCAGCAACGAATCCAACGAGGTCACTGGAACTACAGATTACCTAAAAAAAAAGGGTGCACAGCATGTATACATGAATATAACTGCCAATATAATATTAACGAGATACCAAAGTAAGAATTAATGAAAGTTTATATCAATATGCGATTACATCAATTACTATTTTTGACACAAGTGGATATTTAGACGAAGTAATAAGACGTAATTTGTCTGAGTCGTGCATTGTTGTATTTGTGCAACACAATTTGGACAATCTGGTCACGCATGGACTTGTCATAGGAATACATATGAAATTAATACAGTTAAGAGGTCAGAAAATAAATTCACGTCGAATTAAGATCACATATCGAAGGTCAAAATAACAATGAACATCACTAAACCAAATAACAGGTATTAGTACATCTACCCTGACTGGTATCCAAACCAAGTTTAACAAAGAAGGTTTCGTGTGATGACAAATAGTTTTGGAACTCACAAAAGTGGTTTAAACTTCCGAATCACACTTCGGATTCCACAAACTTTAGGACCCAATCCAAACACGTTTTACAGATAGGTTTAAAAAAATGTGCAAACGTCAATTTTATGTTCTGTCCATATAACATGTTTCGAAATAGAGGAGCTGGGACCCCAATAATGGCTTCTGAAGATTCTGTTGCTTCTGGGGGCATTTAGAAATATGATGCGTAGCCCTTACTTGCAGAAATCGATGAGTCCCCCCTAAATGGATACAGCAACCGCTTCTAAACCTTACGTCCATAGCTTTAAGAGATGTCGGACACTACTTCTACGTGGTTTCAAATTAATTTTGTGAATTAACTTTGAACAAACGCATATAATTTGGCGTCAGGGCAATAACAAAAATCGGAAGTTTATGAAACCAAACTCAATAATAGAACAAAATGACGCACACCACAGATGTCTTTACGTACCTGATCACGAGGATGGTATTGAAATCCACCAAATTACTAAAATGTTGCAGTGTGCATTTAAATCATTTAAAAATTTTGGCAGAAAACAGTGAATGTTGTAGGTTATCGCAAAACATATCGCAGTTTCTGCCCATTCGTGAACACTAATTTTCCCTTGTATCTATGCATCCCATTGACTTTCAGCCATCAAAACACCACACGAAAGTGCGGAAGGATGCACGAATTCGATATCAATCATATTTCGGTTCCTGCAACAGTAATAGGTACTGCACAACAGCTGATAGGGAAATTCGAGATCGAGTACAGGTTTCCGCCAAGCTGCAAGGAAATCTATCGAATGACAGTCGTCGAAATGTACGCAAAGCTTACTCGGTATGCCAAATAATCATTGCATGAACCATGTATTTAAGCGTCCTGTCACACAAGCAATCAGTAAATGCTCAAGAACGATATCGAACAACAATTTTCATATAAATTCATCCAACAAGAGCAAAATAAGCACCGAAATCGCGTCTACTGCGTTTGCTGGACGGCTAGCTACAACTCGAATCAACGAAACCGCGCAAATGCCGTCAAGGTTAAGCCAGAGGCGCCACTTCAAATAGGGGATATGCTTTATCAACGCCCTATTATCTACACCACAACCTATTATTATTACCATCCTGCTTTCATGACTACACTGAATGACCAACGGGAGTTAGGTCAAACTCCATTCACGGCAACAATACAGTCCTAACATACTGCCTACCACAAACCACATCTTAACTAATCCCCGCACCACTCCTCTTCGAGTCTACCAAAGCTAAAGCAGTCAAGTGGCGGGACTTACTACGCAGAAGCTCACCGAAGATCTGGAACCTCTACCTCACAATCAAGAAGCGAGCTCAAAGAAATCACTAGTTTATACTAGCTCGTAATCAGAATATTGGATATTGGACCTACAACCATTCCAAAACTACAAGGAATATCCCCAACAAAAATTCATAATTATTTACATGGTGTCATTAAAAGAATAATAGAATTTGGATTCATATGCAGCGACTAGGCGGTAAAAGGTCCAAAATATCTAGTCCCTCAGCAATGCAACTCAATATTGGTGGCCAGTGGCATGACTTTCAACTTGAAAAAGTGCAAAGTAGTGAAGTTGCGCAGCTGTAGACTGCAGAATTCAAGTTACACCCTGTGCAGTGAAAGCTTGTCCTGCACAACGTCGGAACGCGACTTAGGTCTAGTTCTAACCGAAAAAATCGACACAAGCGTAAATTACACAGGGGATGTAGCGAGGGCATATGCGGTCATACACTTTACGCATAGACAGTTAGGTACACTCACTCCTGAGCTCTTTCTAATGTTGTACAAAACATACGTCAGGCCACACCTTGAGGTGCATAATATTATTGCACCCCCAATGCTGAGAAGAGACGCCAACCTCTTGGATAGAGTCCAACGACGGGCAACAAAAGGAGTGGTTGGTCTCCGAAACAAACCATATGATGAAAGGCTGAAGAAATTAGGCCTGTTCACACTTAGTTACCGTCGGCTTGGGGGGGATTTGATTACTGCCTACAAAATAACAAATGACCAGAATCACCCAAACAAAGGTGTTCTGCCATTGAGTTGGTATAGGCTCCCACGTGGAAATCCCAGAAGGATAGCTCACCAGAGGGCAAGGACCCGGGTGCGCTCCCACTTCTTTTCACTGCGGGTTTGTCGTCCCTGGAATTCCTTACCGGCAGATGTAGCTATGGCACCGTCTTTGGACGCCTTTAAGCGAAGGCTGGACAACCATGCAGCGATACAAGGACTGCATCCAAATGGCCTATCTCCTTAAAATCGCATATACCAATCAGGGGTAGACAATTAAACTCGTCGTTTTACTTCTTTACATTCTCTCCCGTCTTACTCTCCTGACAACTTATTAATATTATAATTACTATTATTATTATTACTATTACCGATATATATATTATTCTCCAAACTTAATGAGCTGACTGTTGTTACGTTTCCTATTTTCGTTTCTGTCTCTTAGTCTGAATAGCTTCACTAATTATATCTATTATTATTATTATTACAATTATTATTATTATTATTACTATCTCTTTTCTCTTGTCGACGATACCGAAGGACTAACTGGCGAAAGGATCAACTCCAATCACAGTAGTAACAGTCTTAACATACGTCATACTACAAACCACATATAATTAATCCCAGCACTGCTCCCTTTTGGAGTCAACCAAAGCTACGACAGTCGAGTGGCGGGACAAGCTACGCAGAAGTTTACCGAAGATCAGGAACCTATACCTCTCAATCAAGAAGCGAGCACAAAGAAATCAAATTGGTTTATACTAGCTCGTAAAAACGATATTGGGTATTGAATATTGTTTTAACACGTCACTTCAAGGACTTTGGAGGATATTGCGTCCTACAGAGGTTGTTAGTTGCTGGAAAAGGTCTAGTGCTTCCTTTGGTTTCTTTATATGAGTTTAATTTCAACACTGATATTTGTAGAGAACAGTATGCAAAGGTAAGCTGAAGACAACACGGCAAAGTTAAACTTTAAGCACCAACGGACAAATGCTCTTGAACGCACCAACCACGTGAAAAAGGAGATTTATGCGTATAAAATACATATATTTATGAAAATAATGAATTAAAAGCATGAAACTGTTGCACAGAATACCTGTCTCTCATATACGATGGAAAAATCTCAGTTTGGAATTGAAATATCGACGGAGTATATAACCTTCCAGGTGAATGTAGCATTGATTTCGGGCGCATTGCAGAAACTTTGAGGCAGACTGTAGATAACTCCCACGTTCTGCAATGTACCCGAAGCTTATTGCCCCTAAAATTCTTCAGTGCTCATGAATAAAATGCTGGCTGGGTGCATTCCGTGCATGTAATTACCTTGGTCTTCTAACCATAACATGTTATGGTTAGGTCCCCATTTTCCCCAAAATATCCCCACTTTGTCCCCACATTTGTCCGATTGGGCAATAACCCTAGTATTTCCTTTACCTAACCCTAACGTATAAATATCCTTAAATTAACGCTGATCTAACTCGAAATAGTTCTAATATCTCCCTCATTAGGTTAACCTAACTCTAACTTATCTCTAGCCTAAACCTTAACTTAATCTTTCCCAAACTTAACCTGTATCTTGCTAGACATCCCGTTTAGCAGCATGACACTTGTTAAGCATATTTTATTCATGAGTGCAATATTATTTGCTAGCGTGCTCACTGAGCGTCTCAAGGTCATTAGTGCGATCGCGTTCCACCGGTATTCACTGGTGCTTAGAGTTGAACTTAGTCGATAACAGATGGTTATGTGCTATACTTATCCTAAAAATGATGTACTTTGGTCTTCTTTATGAATTCAAATGACTGCGTATTCATTTAGTTGCTTTCAAAATAATGTGTGGCGAAACTAATTTCAGCAATAACTACAGTGTTATTGGTACATTAAAGGATACCCTTCTTCCCTTCTGGTATGTCGCTATGTAGACCTGTTATTCAAAGTTCATTCTTGCAACTCTAAAATATATTTCACTAAAAAGCTAATGTATTGTGGGAAATTTTTGTGCTTCCATGAAAATGCATACATTATCTTGACATTGCAAATTTGAATGGAACCCATCGTACATTATTTGTCAGATTTAAACACAGTAGAGGAATTGTAAAGTACTAGTCACTAGTAAGTTCTGCCACAACAAATAAGAAGGGGCTGCGTCGCTTTAATAAGCGCATCCTACTTCCAATTCGTGGAGTCTATGGCTGCATGTGCTCTAATCACGTCATCCGATTAGATCTTGCTCATGTAGTTTCTCCGTGTCCGACGTCGCACGCGACAAGATGTCATGTAGGGAGCAAGTTACTTTCTGTTTCGTTTTATGCTCGTAGTTGGACCACTTAACATATCTTGAGACCGAGTTTCCATGGAATTTTGTCGTCTTCCAGAGATTTTAGGTCTACCTTCAACTTTTATGAGTGTCTTTTACTGCTCTCGAAAGCATTATATCTCCAAAGTAAAGCATCACCAGGCAGTTTTGGCGGCGTGGCATTAAAGATATTAAGAACCCTAGGGCAGAACCATGTGGGACTCCTGCGGCTACAGTGTACTAAGATGATTGGTCAAGGTTGACTGTCTGTCTAGAATCCTCTTCTATCTAGGTAGTTTGCAAGCCATTAGAGAAGTGCACTAACACTACTTTCCTGACCTATTTTGAGTGAAAATGTCAGACTGAAAAGTGTCAAATTCCATTATGTTTAAAATTTATTTTGATCAAATCTCACTGTTATCCCGTAATATTTACTGATGACGTTTCGAGCACAATTTACTGTTCATAATCATATCAATGTATCAAATGCCTTCACAAAATGAGGAGAGACCACAGGACCTGTGACATTACATCGTAGCATGATGTCCAGTTACTTTATTCTAACCGCTGATTAGTTTCATAGGATATGTCTCTGGAAATCATATTGTACTTCATGGTGTATGCTGCTTCCGTCAAGATGTTTCATGACACGGTTGCTACCCGGGCTTCTCAATACTTGTGATACAACCAGGAGTAATGTTACTGGTCAACAATTTTTTGTATTTTGCTGGTGGTTCTCTTCCACTCCAAAAGTTTGGAATTCTTGAACGGGTCATATAGTTGCCTGAGTAAGGCTTCTGTGTATTGTTTCAGAACTGAGTGCCGAATGTCGTCACAACCGGAAAAACATTCTTTGATCGGGTTTTAATAGTTTGATCATGACCGTTAGGGTTTAATCTGATGGTAATCCCCACCATGCCGTTTATTCTTTTTAGGGGTTGGACATAATGTTTCAGCCACTTCTAAACCAATGAGAATCTGTCTTTTAAGGTGTCTCCTGGTTGGTATGTTTTCCTGTCGACATAAGTTCGTGGAGTTTCAATGCCACAGGAAATATGAAATCTCACATGACATGTGCAATTTTCAGGGCTGACCTTCGGTAATCATTTCTGTCTATAGTCGAATAAACAACTTACTCGTCTTCTGAGTGATTGACTAGTTCAAACGTAGAACTCTGCATCGATGTGCACCACTTCGAGCTGCCACACTCCATGTAGCACACAAAGAGAAACAAGTAAAGAGAGATAATAAACTGACGTGTGAATGAGGTAAAAAGAATAGTAATACGGAAGAACAATAGAATTTTATTGGACATTATAAATCACAAAGAGTGAACACATTTGCTTCAGACTTCACATCTATCTTCCACAGTTCGATTTCAGTCGAACCCTTACCATCGAGCTAGTACCTTGTACTGTGTTCACCGTTTTTAGTAATGCTCGAATAGATAATGTATCCACATATGGTACAGTCTAATGGAGTCTTACAGGTCAGATGTGACAGTTTTGGCTGGTTATGTTCATCATATTTGACAAAGTATTCATCAACGGTTTCTAAATGTTTGTTCTTTCGTAAGTCGCTGTTGTGATCAGGTAATTCATAACTTCTCATACAATATCTTCCACGCTCTCTGTAAATTGTATTCAAACTTGTTAACTATGAAGTGGATTAAAGAAGCTGCTTTTTCTACCGTATTCATGTATTACTGTTTGCTTAATGTCGTTTCATTTTATGCTGTCCATTTTTTCCCTTCTGAGGTTGGTTGGTTCTGCTTATAAATGTAAAAGGAACAAAGTTTGTGAATATGAATATGTATAGATTTATCTGATGTGTCATTCTGAGAATTCCTCAGTTTTATCAACAAGTCGGAAGTTCGAAAACTTATCATCATTATTCTTGTTTCTTCCTTAATTTGATCGTATTTGATATTTTATTGTAGATTCTGGCCACTGTTTTCAACGACGCCAGTTTTTCTCAAATCAGCCCATACCAATTTCCAAAGCATGAAGTTCAATGTTTGTTTTGTTTTGGGTGGACCAGGCGCTGGGAAAGGCACAGTGTGTCAGCAAATAGTACAAGTCAGTATACCATAGCTACCAGCGTTTATTGTCATTATTTTTCCTTGAATTCTTGAAATGTGGCAACACTGGACTTCGCAATGTTCTATATTGATGACAGCATCCGCAAACATTAGTAGTTAAATGCACAATACAGCATAAAGATGTTAAATCATTTCGTTGCATGCACATATTATATACTAGGTCGGTGTTTCGACCAGCACCCTCAAAACTGAAGAACTACATTGATTGCTTTCAAGTGACCAATTTGCGTAAATATTTATTAAATCGCATGTAAGGAATGAAGAAGGATAAAGTGTGAAAACCTGATGTCATAACATGAGCAGCATTCAGAATTGGTCATTATTAAACTCGGAAAGACGAAGATTGTTCGTAAGAGTGAAAGATTCTAAATATATGTAAAGTATTTTTCAGAGTTAACGGTGTGATAAAAGCGAATGAAGATGGGTTGCACATAAATTTACCGTACAAGTGAAAGATGATTTAAGGTAACGGTGGCGAAAAGGATTAAACAAACTGCTTCTATATAAACCCTTCGGGGTTTTCTTTTGTATAATAAGAACTTCCGCTGTGGATGAAAGTTCCAGTCTTCGAGCGACATGGTCTTATCATATATCACTTTGAAAGATTTTTCTGTTAAAAAAAGTATTGTGTGAGAACAGTGCTCACGAATCAAACTGTTGTTTGGTTTAATTTATCCATTTAGCAACCTTGTTGGGAGAGGTTCTTGTGCAGACCTCGACACAATCCTATTGTTATTAGCTTGTGTACTTAGCTCCACAGAAGCAGGTGAACTGACGCATACATCTGAGTGTTTTTAGCAGTGTCTTCGATATTTTGATGAATGAGTTTGCGTGGAACAAGTGAAAATTAAAGACAGTGAGGAATGCTTTCCGGACTGTTCTTAATAATCTGTTTTGAAGAATTTTAGCTGCTGTATCACCTCTGAAGTTTAGATTTATAAATCTCTTGTAGATCTTGAGCTGATTTATAGGTGATTGTAGGGTACTTGATTCTAAGTTTGCTATAAAGCAGTCACCAAGTAATTGAGTGTACACAATTAATGTACAACTGCTATAAATTGGTGAAATATATCGATAGAGGGCGAAGTATCCATATGATCTCCGTTTGGTCCATTACAGGAGTGCAGAAACAGCACATTTGATAAAATAAACAATATTCAGACATAGATTGAAGTGTGTGCCAAGCATTCTGACTGGTGACGATGTGAATTTTTCCGGATGTTCTTGTAGTGATGTTTAACTCGAAATTACGCATCGAGTGAATAAATTAGTCTGTTTAACTTGTGATATCAGTTGAAGAATTTTAGATGGGTGACAACAATTATTTTTACTATTTATGATGTTCTTTTTCCTCCCTAATTTGTTATAAGTAGTAATATTCCTATTATTATAATTATTTTGAAATCTAAATTTTGTGAATAAAATGGTGATTGCGAATAAAGTTATTGTCATCACTATAACTACCATCACTTTTGTCATTTTGGTCTAGGAGTATGGATACACGCATTTATCTGCCGGTGAATTATTACGACAAGCTCGTGACTCATCAGACTCTGAGTTCGCTAACAAAATACAAATGCATATGAAGAATGGAACAATAGTACCAGCGAAAATAACTTGCGGCTTATTATATCAAGTTAGTGTGTAGCATTTTTATAATTGAGTTATTTTTTTATCTCGAACAAAATTGTTTTGGTCTGTGCGCGGTTCTCATAAATGTGAACTTTCAGTCGACAGAAATTTTAGTGGGGAGGGGGTTAGGAATCTTATGATTAGGACACCAAATGAAAAAGCTACCAGAAGAGTATAGGGCCATTACAGAGTTGTTTCATTCTAGTTCGTAATAATTAGTGTACACACTCATGACCTTCAGGTGAGATCGAGAAGTGCTAGTTAGTGTTTAACTAGTGCGTCGGTGGCACAGTGGTTAGGACTCTCGCCGACCATGCACATGGACCGAGGTGCGATCCCCTGCCGACGCACTCCTGATATCTATGGTCGGCCTGCAAAATTCGGGCTACCGATATCCATGCTGAAAATTCCATATTTGTACCAAAATTACAGTGTGGAATCAAGCTGTAATGAAAAATAAAATAGAAAATAAGTCAAAATCAAAGTCCTGTCAAATTTCTGCAATTCTCAGTATATTGCCATCACTGTGTGACTTGAAGGACCTCACCATTCTGAACCGAGTATCGCAAATATCTTTTGCAGTTAGTCAGGAATATTCTTAACCCTAACATTGAAAAAGAAATTGTCAGAAATTTAATGTGTTGTAAGAGTGAATTTTATTTGCTAAACTGTATCCTAAGCACCTTATTCCAGTGTTTCAGTTAGAAGATGGGGACTTTAAAGGCCAACCATAACACCTTAAGTTAGGGGTAAGATGCATAAAAATCAAATACGGCACAAGAATATGAATTTTAAGCAGATTCAGGTTTAAATTATCCATCTCTTATTATCGACATCGTTGGTTAAAAGTATTTCCGTTAGAGGGTTCTAGGATCTGCTTTTGTTTTTTTGTTATGGTAGCTGTTGCAAAGTTAAGATGGAAAGTCTCATGTGATTGTCGCAATAAAAAGCTCGATCACGAAGCAACATCACTTGGAGATTATTGAAAGGCAGGGATTACTGGGCAGACATTTCGTTCTTGTTTGGTAGTCATCGTTGGTACTCATCTATGAACCTGAGAGGGATCGGATGCAAGAATTTCAGGTTACAGAGTGAACTCGTTAACCATTTAGCCACTGTGACGGAATCCAGCGTCCAGCCTATGAGTTCTAACTCCTTCCATTTCGCGATATATGGCATGACCGTCAGCCAGTGTCATCAGCTAGTATTTATCCTCGTCGCAGGTATTCACCACTTCTCACTAGAACTTCAGGCAACTTTATCCTGTAGTTAGTCACTAGTGAACATGTAAACATGAATGAAACAGCTGTCCAGTACTCTGAGGTTTTCATTGATTCTCTAACTGAAGTCAGTTGGTGAAGACAATGAGAAGAATAAGACAAAGCAGATGGAACAGAAACTGACAGGAGAATAAAGAACGACTGCCTCATAACTGAGGACCTATTTGAACGTCTGAGACCAACAGGATCAATTATCCCTCGACTCTACGGTCTACCAAAGGTACACAAAGCAGGTCTACCACTTCGACAAATTTTAGACACGGAGGGATCAGTGTACCATCCAATTGCCGAATGGTTGTCCGAGATGCTGGAGCCTGTGAGACGACAACTCTATAAGTACTCTCTACGACATACTTTTGAGTTTATTGAGTGCATAAAATACTTGAATGTAAATGTCAAATGAATATTATCACTGGACGTGGAATCTCTATTTACGAATGTGCCGCTCACAGACACAACTTGTTTCCTTTGAAAGTATATGGATGACAAGAATCTGAGTATCGGAATACCGACCTCATACCTGAGAGAGTTGTTATTAAGGTGCACACTCAACGTACAATTTACATTCAACGACGTCATCTATAGACAGAAAGACGGGATTGCTATGGGCTCTCCCCTTGACCCACTTTTGGCAGACTGCTTCATGGCCAGCCTGGAAAACGGCATTTTAAAATCAACAATGAACAAATTGCTGCGGTACAAAAGATACGTCGATGACACTTTTATAATTTTTCAAGATGATTCCGACTTAAATTGTACCTTACAGGAGTTTAATAACTGTCATCCTTCAATTAAATTCACAATGGAAGTTGAAAATGAATCAAAGATTCCATTCCTGGACGTCGAATTGATAAGAAGAGATGACGGAACTCTGAAAAGATCTATCCATAGAAATCCAACATGGAATAGCCAACTGACAAACTTCTACAGTTGTATACCTATCAGTCATAAAAGAGCTCTCATCTCGCTAGCCCTCCGTACCAGAAGAATTTGTAGCGATGACTATTCAGAAGAAGAGCTCCTATTTATCAAAAGCATCATGGTTCAAAATGGATACCCACCGCGTTTCGTGGAGAAGAACATGAAACCAAAACCAAAAAGAGAATAATACACTTCAATGCCAAAGAAAACACTTTATTTGAATCTGGAATTCAGGGGAGACGTAGCAGCAGATATCCTTAAAAGGTGAATCTCCAATTCCCTGAAGAAGACTTTTGTGGCAGCAACCCTAAGAGTGATATTCTCTAGCAGCCCACTACTTCGGAGCAACGAGAAGGACAGACTTCCGCATATGACCACTTCAGTGTGTATATATCAGTTCACCTGCTCTTCCGGAGCTAGGTACATAGGTCGGTTCATGCGGGTCTTATCAAAACGTGTTAGAGAACATCGTCCAGCATGGCTGCAAAGAGGAGGCACTAGTTCAATCAGAAGCGCAATAACTGAACATCTCGTCAATACCTGTCGCAGAATCTCGACTGACTCATCATTTACAGTCATTTACAAAGTAAACAAAAATCTACCAAAGGCAGTGTGTTTCCGACTTTGTACTGCAGAAGCTCTCGCCATATGCATCAAAAAGCCGGAGCTATGTGTTCAAAAGAAACTAGTCCAGCTTTTACAACTAACATGGACCTATTTCGGTATGTTCCCTTATCCTTCAGTTTATTTTGTTGTTTTGTTATCTGTGTGTGTAATTTTCTCTCTTTGCCTTCATTCAATTCATCCTATTTTTTCAGTTATAAAATTAGTTACTTTAAGTTTGTTTCCATGCTCCTCCTGATCACACTTGTAATCCGTTTAGAATAACCATTTTAAAATTATATTCTAATCCTATGTAATTTTTTGTTTCTATGCCTCTTGTAATCTATATTCACATCTCCTAACTTACATTTCAAGTCGAAAATTTTGATTTCAATTTGTTTCCATACTCATTTTGTTCACACATGTAATTCGTTCTATCCCTGCGTTTCTAATCCTCTTGTAATTCATATCAAGTTGAAAACAATTATCACCTTTTATTCACCTTTTAAATTGTTTCTCCAGTTATCAAATATTAATTTTGCATACGTTGGAACTGTTTTCTAATTCTATGCAATCTTGTCTCTAAGCCCCTTGTAATCTATATTCCTACCTTCAAACCTTCATATCAAGTTGAAAATTATTATCACCTTCGTTACTATGTGGAATTAAACAAATAATAATTGTATCCATGTAAACTAATCTATACAAATGCGATTGTACAGCTTTTGAGAATGAAATAGCCGAAAAGATATCTTTGCTGAACTTCTTGTTCTTTTCAATCTAAAGTTGGTGATCAGACTTAAAATCAATGAAATCCATGCAAACCGTTTCTTTAAACAGAAAGCGACACCAATCTGTGTGTATACAACCTTTAATCCAAGTCATTTTTGAAACCACATTATTTTTGAAAAAGATGCAAAATATAAATTGAAGCAATAATTTGGTGATATAGGTGATACAACTCAGTCTCAGGGTCACAAATGTACTCTTGAGTGTGTTATGTTCAAATACATTTCACCTGTTCAAACCGTTAAAAGTGAACTTGGTTTGGACATATATAACATTTCACTTGTCGTTGGTCGGAGATTTTTCATTTTATTACTTTTCTTAGTTGGTCTTTCACTTCACTCAAACATCAACAATGTTTGAAAGCCTAGATTTAACTTAGTTATATAATTGTCTACCTGGTGTACATTGTCACACACTTATCTCAGTGGTATCTGGGCGTTCCAGTCATCCAAAGCATATCAGTTCTAATGAGTCGACATATTTTGTACCAGTATAAACGGTTAGATAAAAAGGAAGCGAGAAAATGAATATCTTGTAATGACATTCCATCAAGAATAATGCTGATCAACACAAATACCTGGCTGATTTGTATAAGTTGGACATTATTCTATTCGACAGTATTTCACCCTTGTTGCTTCTAGTTGGAGAGAAATTTTCTTCCGTTTACTGCAAGTGAATGAGGTTTTTTTTCGCTTAGTGTATGGGATTTTCATTCATTGTCTTATTAAAACTTCAGAACACCTAACTTGCATACAAAGCATATTGTCTTCAAATCTAGTTGTAAGTGGATTCATCACCTTAGTCTCTCAATCGATCGATATGCTGGGTGTGTTTCTATGTTGATGAGAGTCTTTAACTTAGTCTATTAAAATGTTTGTTAAGATGTTGATCATTGTATTACATTCCTATATGTGTTAATCACTTTAATATCGTTATTATCATTATTACTACATAAAAGCAAACTTGGTACTTTATGAGCGCCATGAGATGCACCACACAAAAATAAAACGATAGTGTAGTGAAAATCGAAATGAAATAAATGAGGAACAACAAGTAAGCATACTTAGCAAGCGCATTCAAAAAATGATTCGTTACTTATTGTTACTTTCAGAAACAGACGAAACGAAAAAAATTGTAGTATGTCCGCCAATGATCACGATTCTCGGTCATATCTGATGATATCTCGGACCACTGTTTCGAATTTTGTCTCGGACTGCATCCAGGAGGTCGTGATTTTCTAATAGATGCTAGCCTAATACAGCTATCCTTCATCCCACAGCTTCACGTCAGGTGCTTACTGCTTCCTTCCTTTTTCCGTCTAGTTCCAAAGTTTGCAAACAGTGAATGGTATGGGGGCTGCTAAGGTAACATTCTTAGTACACATCCAGGCTGCCGAAGTCAGTTTCTTAAGACGACAACACTTGTTAAGAGGCGATCTTCACTGTCCAAACACACATCACCAGATCTCAGGATGTGAGCAGTTGTATGTGTAGGCTTTATACTTAAATAACCATGGTATTTTTGTAGTCTTCCATCAGGTGTGAAATAAGTTGTCTGCTTCAAATGGTATACATCAGGGTTATCTACTGTTGAAGCTAAGGCTTACAAATGCAGCACGTGGTATCAATTTATGAAACTTATATTTGTTAGTTTAATTGACATAGAGAGAGGTATCCCTTTGGAGATAAAAGTGTACGATACAATCAACATCCTTGGCTATAAAATTCAAAGCATACGTTCTCGAATTGATCTTAGTAGTGTGAATGCATTCTTGGCTTATCTTTGTGAGAAGTTGAAGAATCTTATTACCACATAATGTTTCCTGTTCCATACAATAACTAATATTGTTACTTTCATCATTGAATAAATGTACTCCTGACAAATATTTTAATCGGTTTATTTGATTTTATGTATTTTAGGAAATGACAAAAACTTATCAGAAATCTGGTTGTGTAAATTTTCTCGTAGATGGCTTTCCACGTAATGATGATAATCGATTGTGCTGGGAAGAGGGTATAGGCCCTTTTACAGTTTTGAAACGTGTCATCGTACTAGACTGTCCGGATGACGTAAGTTGTTGATTCGATCTATTTTATATAGTTATTGCTGGTTTTGCATAAATTGTCATCATAACAACTGAAAATTGAACAAGATTGTGTGTAAATAATTACCTTTTTTCATTTAGTCCGGTGAAATTACTTAACAATTTAGTTTATCTAATACCCTGAAATTATTGTCAGGTTAAATACATATTTTATTTTTTATTTTTGACTACAGCTTGATTCCACACTGTAATTTTGGTACAAGTATAGAATTTTCAGCATGGATAGCATCGATAGCCCAAATTTTGCAGGCCGGCCATAAATATCAGGTGTGCGTCGTCAGGGGATCGAACCTCGGACGATGTGCATGGTCGGCGAGAGTCCTAACCACTGTGCCACCGACGCATAGGTCAAACTAGTAGAACAGGGGCAGTCAGACTAGCCGAACTTAAAAACCTAGCAAAATCTAGATTGGTTGACCCAAATAAGATAAGAAATCTAGAGAATAGTTCAACCATGGCATTACATGCAATCACACAAACATACAATAGGATGGGATAGGATGACAGTTTTAAAATCTAATGTCACAGGGTATAGGGAGAGATTGATAACAGAAGCCTTGTTTATCGAATCAACTGCAAATACATGTAATAGGAATGATTCAACACCTATCCCAGATATCTGGAGAATTTTACTACCCCTACGACAAATATGAGAAGACAAATAAAACTATAAAACTCAAGTTTCAAAGTCGTGTGATTACAATTGATATGATTATGAACAATAAATTTTGTTCGAAACGTCGTCCAATAAATAATACTGTTTCACTGTGTGATACATCTAATAAACAAACTAATATGAAATTACTTAACTATTTTATCCACTAGTCAGTCACTATTAGAGTTGTGATGCCATGAGTTAGTCATGTAAGTTGCACCCGATGAGTCATGAGTTTAAATTTGTACCTCCTTCTGCCCCTCAGTCTGTTTACTAAGGCCTTTTCGAACAGGTAGTGTTGTCCTTCTTCTTATATTGGGTGTGTCTTATAAGTTAGCGCATAAACGTTTTGAGAAAGAATTTGACCTAAATAGTTTTCATATGCTTATGAGACTAGTGAGTCATCGTAGAACCTAAAACAGAAGTTCAGCGATTCACCTTGGAAGGACATTCATGAGGCGTCCAAAGTAAGGAAGGTGAAATAGACTGATGCTGCAACATAGGTTTAATGAACAGGATAACTGTATTAAGACTATTGAAGACTTTCAGAATCAGATCGATGGCAAGGAATGAATGCATACATCTGATATTTTGAGTGATTTGAACCATGTCGTGAAAGGTTCCCAACCGTTCCAATATGTAGCTTCGTAGGTCACATGCGCAGACACTACAATTGTCTTTGTAGGTTAAAACAAAACAATCATGAATCCGTGCTGTTCCAGCGTATTTTCTTCTAAATCTCTTTTAGCATAATCCTATTTCGGCTATTATTACTTATAGAAGGAGCCTGTTGTTTGGCATATGTCCTAGCCACACTAATCAGTGGAACTTCATGTGCATACATACACTTAACTCCATTATCGCTTGCCAAGTTGTCCCAACTAATTCAGGCAACTGATTGAAGGCAATTATGATTGAAAACCTGTAATCTTTTTTTACCTTTAGCAACTATGTCTTATATCTTTAAAGTAGGACACAGCATCAAGCGAATTAAGCGTCAACTAGAGTCCCCTCTTAAAGTCATTTACAAGTTAGTCAATTCCATTCTGTATTATAAGTACTATTTTTGCAACAAAGTAGATTATTATTATTAATTATAAATGGAGTTAGATTCCCATGCTTTTGTATGTCAAATCAGGACCAGACTCTAAATACAGAAGTTTTGTTCAGTCTCTTTCCAAGATGGTGTTAAGTTCCTTACACATTTGTGTATCTACGAGTGATAGGAAGAAAATAGTCTATACTCATGTACAAATTGAGGATAAATTATCACTAATGATCGAGACCATTGTTTAATAAAGGCAAAGATTATCTACTCCGAGATTGCCTTACGAACCATACCTACCAAATTATGAGGAAGTCTAAAGAAATCTAAAGATTTCAGTTTATGGACACCGATAAAACGATAAGTAGGAGATTGCACTGGATCATTGTACTTAGGCATCACTATCACTTACATACAGGTAGCATATTTTAGTGATGAATTACTTTTCTTTACAGATTTCAAGGATAGATTAGTGCAAAACGAAAGCACAGTCAAAAATATGAGAAAAATTTAATTAATAAGTACAACAAGTTTAAACTGTCTCAAAAATGATGAACTGACTGAAAAGTATTTTAGTTACAGGTAAGCTTGAAAGTATCCTTAGGCCTACTGACCACTTTTGTGATCGTTTCTTCTGTATATACATGTAATGACTATTACATCTAGTGATTTGGAATATCAAGAAATACACAGATACTATTATTATTAATTACAGGATTTCATCATGAGCTGACATCGGTTAGAGGACCATTGGAAAACCTGGGAGTACTGAGCAGCTGTTTCGTTAGCTTAGTTTGGGACAGTTCGGCAGTACTCACCCACCGGGGTTCAAACCCAGGACCTTCTGGTTATAAGGTGAGCTTATAGACCATTAACCCATTGGGACCTGATCCAATGGCCGATGAATTCAAACTTCTACCAATTCACGACATAACGCGACCACTAGCCAATTTCTTCGGTGAGTATTTGTCCTCACACCCTACCCTACTGGTCATGACTTCCCACTAGAACCCCAGGTAACTACCTACCTTAATAGGGCCAGTCGCTAGTGAGCATCTCATTGATATTCAAGTGTTGGTTTGTAGAGATCTAATTGATTTGTTATAGTATTTCATCATGAGCTGACATCGGTTAGAGAATTATTGGTCATCATCATGGACATCAGTGTATATCAATTGGTCTTTGTGGTACTTTCTAATCGTCCACAAATCCCTAGTTGTGATTGCAGTATGTTTATCCATGTGGCTTGCTAAAATCACCACTAATTGATGCACCACATTATGGCATATTTTCATTTGGTTCCCTTATATGTGTTACTCAGGTAGATAGCTTGTTATTTTCAAGTATTGGTTTTGTAGGGATTTTGTTTAATTGTATGGAGGATTTCACCATGAGCTGACATCGGCTAGAGAACCACTGGAAAACCTGGGAGTACTGGACAGTCGTTTCGTCCTAGTTTGGGACTCTTCATCAGTACTCACCCACCGGGGTTCAAACCCAGGACCTTCTGGTTATAAGGTGAGCTTATAGACCATTAACCCATTGGGACCTGATCCAATGGCCGATGAATTCAAACTTCTACCAATTCACGACATAACGCGACCACTAGCCAATTTCTTCGGTGAGTATTTGTCCTCACACCCTACCCTACTGGTCATGACTTCCCACTAGAACCCCAGGTAACTACCTACCTTAATAGGGCCAGTCGCTAGTGAGCATCTCATTGATATTCAAGTGTTGGTTTGTAGAGATCTAATTGATTTGTTATAGTATTTCATCATGAGCTGACATCGGTTAGAGAATTATTGGTCATCATCATGGACATCAGTGTATATCAATTGGTCTTTGTGGTACTTTCTAATCGTCCACAAATCCCTAGTTGTGATTGCAGTATGTTTATCCATGTGGCTTGCTAAAATCACCACTAATTGATGCACCACATTATGGCATATTTTCATTTGGTTCCCTTATATGTGTTACTCAGGTAGATAGCTTGTTATTTTCAAGTATTGGTTTTGTAGGGATTTTGTTTAATTGTATGGAGGATTTCACCATGAGCTGACATCGGCTAGAGAACCACTGGAAAACCTGGGAGTACTGGACAGTCGTTTCGTCCTAGTTTGGGACTCTTCATCAGTACTCACCCACCGGGGTTCAAACCCAGGACCTTCTGGTTATAAGGTGAGCTTATAGACCATTAACCCATTGGGACCTGATCCAATGGCCGATGAATTCAAACTTCTACCAATTCACGACATAACGCGACCACTAGCCAATTTCTTCGGTGAGTATTTGTCCTCACACCCTACCCTACTGGTCATGACTTCCCACTAGAACCCCAGGTAACTACCTACCTTAATAGGGCCAGTCGCTAGTGAGCATCTCATTGATATTCAAGTGTTGGTTTGTAGAGATCTAATTGATTTGTTATAGTATTTCATCATGAGCTGACATCGGTTAGAGAATTATTGGTCATCATCATGGACATCAGTGTATATCAATTGGTCTTTGTGGTACTTTCTAATCGTCCACAAATCCCTAGTTGTGATTGCAGTATGTTTATCCATGTGGCTTGCTAAAATCACCACTAATTGATGCACCACATTATGGCATATTTTCATTTGGTTCCCTTATATGTGTTACTCAGGTAGATAGCTTGTTATTTTCAAGTATTGGTTTTGTAGGGATTTTGTTTAATTGTATGGAGGATTTCACCATGAGCTGACATCGGCTAGAGAACCACTGGAAAACCTGGGAGTACTGGACAGTCGTTTCGTCCTAGTTTGGGACTCTTCATCAGTACGCACCCACCGGGGTTTGGACCCAGCTCGCCCTGTAACCAGAAGGTCCTGGGTTCGAATCCCGGTGGGTGCGTACTGATGAAGATAGCTTGTTAGTAAAAGTCACTCACTGTGTAACAGTAGAAGGCAAGATACTGAAGCCAAGGTATATTTTCAAGGGATCAAACCGCTATTTATATCTTTACAATTTATATTCTTTAACCAATCACTGAACGTGTGATTTTGGTTTATATTGACCGATATGAAATAGAATATTCAAATACATATATTATTCTGTTGCTAATGCAGTATTGAAGTGTGGAAATAGTGTTCAGACGTTAACACCAATAAATACAACGATTCTTACTGTGAGTATAATATTCCGCTGAAACCTCACCACAACTTCACTGAGTCACTTAAGAGCGTATTTTAGGAAGAATATGGGTTTCCTGAAAATTTCACTTACCACTTGCCGATTATTATGAACAGTCATAGAACCTATAATCAAGGGTTTCTACTACCCGCCATATAACATCTACTTCATCACATTATACTAAGCAGGTGTTAGAGCCAATTGAGTGAAAGGTAATCGTGGAAATAAAGACAACTGTTAATTTGTGAAAGTCATGAGTAGTGGGGATTTGGCTCACTGCGTTGTGAACTCCACTTTCAGTTAATGGGTTTTCGGTTCGTATCTGTCTCTACCTACTTCAATCTCGGCGACTGTGTGTTATCAACAGCCCTCATATAATAAGTGTGGCTTATAGATTGGAACATGGTAGACCTATTCCGGAAGCTAAGTTCAAACGACAATATGATTACGTCATTGCCTAACAGACCGTCTGCATAATTATAATGATTAACTAAAAGGTGAATAGTTTTGTTAAGTGTTTCTTTTTTTGACAATAATTATTAAAATGGTGATAGACAGTGAGGCATAGAATCGATCACAGATATATGCTCATACCTTTTTCCACTCTTAATTTTGACACCATTTAGCTTTATTTAGTTTGACTTTTCGTTCTTGTATATGACGACCTTTGCAACTTTTTGTGTTTCTCATGAAGTGTCCACCTTAACGTGAGAAGATGAAAGCGTACTTGTGAAACAATGAGATTCCTGGCTTTTTATGTTGGTAACTTCTTTTTGTAGTGTAAATGGTGTAGTATAAGTGAAATATAATCTCAATAATAATAATAATAATAATGAGGTGTTAAGAAGTATTTCTCTCAGGTCAGACCACGGATAAATGTCAGTTAGAGAGTCATTGAGAACCAGAGAGTACTGCACAGCTGTTTCATCCTAGTTTGAGACTCATCGACAGTACGCACCCACTGGGTTCTTGAAAATTAATCAGATGTTTGCTAGTGACTGGCTGCAGGACGAAGTTGCCTGAAGTTCTAGTAAGAAGTCGTGACCAATGGAATCCATCCACTCGGGAGTGAGGATGAAGTTCCCGCCGATGACATTAGTTGGTAGTCGCGCGGACATCACGAATTGTTAGAAGTTGGAATTTATGGACTGGCCATTGAATCGGGTCCCAGTGAGCCGAATGGTAATATGAGCTTGCCTTGTAACCCGAAGGTCCTGAGTTCGAAACCCAGTGGATGCGTGCTGCTGAAGAGTCACAAACTAGGATGAAACGGCTGTCCATTACTCCCTGTTTTTCAATAATTGTCATGTAAAGAGAAGATTATATTCAATATTTTTAAACATGCTAGGATTTCTATACCGCATATAATGACAATACTGTGTGAAACAAGCCCACGAAATTTTTCACTTGTATTATTACTACTACCTTAGCGGTTATCATTATTATTATTTCCATTTTATATGCTGCATGTTTCTGACATTACCCCTATTGTAAATGTGGAAGATTTTCTGTGTGATTAATTTTATTTATAATTTGAGGATATTACATGCAATATTGTGATTAATGCTGAAAATTCCATTCTGTATCATAAGTACTGTTTTGGGAATAAAGTAAATTATTATTATTAAAAACTGATGTCAATCCGTGGTCTAACCTGAAACAAATAGAATCCCAACAAGCTAATTCTTGGAAATATTTCTCAGTTTGTTTTAATTCTTCATAGAGTTTGTATATATACCGATATAATTTAGCCGTATTTGTAACAAAGTACTTGACCCTGTAATAATATTTATATCAGTTGTCTGAATTGTTTCTAAATAATTTCACCTAGGTCAAGTTATTTGTAAATATCAAGCTGAAACTTATTTCTCTTGTCTATTGATTTGTTGGTTATTATTGATTGTTTTTAATTAATTTATTTATTTACCTGCTTTGTATACGTTAAATGTTAACACATTTAGGGGGTTAAATGCATATTTGTATCTTTATTTATCCCACTGTATCATTTTAACATCTTATGCAGAAGGTTACTTTTTATCGAATAGACGCACTTATTGCATGAAAATATGGTGATTTGTAAGAATGTTTCTGAATAATCGATTTCAACTTCAAGACAGAATTCGTTACAAATAGACTGCTTAAAAAGCCATCAAAAGCCCGAATAGTCTGAACGGCTGTTTCTTCCTGGTTAAGCCCTCTTCAGTAGTATTTGCTCATGATCCTGCAGGAAATAAATCGAAAGGCTGTTATTTTTTAAATATTACTACTTGAATGATTTACCCCCGCAACCACAAATTCACATTCAGACTCCGGAAACTTTATCCACAGGTTGTTCAGTAATAAGCAAGGAATTGGTATATGGGTTTTCGATTCATTGTTCAAGACACTACGGTAAATATATTGTTTAAAAATAAAAGCAAGACAATATGACCTGGAAATCGTTATGACTGCTACTATATTCTCCTGTTGTCCTCATTGTAACTTATATTTCATCGTAAAGTGTAATAGCCTGATGAATTTTATACCTGACCGGCAAACACATTCGGATCCCAATCATTAGATCTGTCATCTTTGCGTCGCTTCATCAACCAAGGCCTAAGAGGCCGAGTAGTATCATAAACTCCTATATAATAAATGTACCCCGTTACGTATTGCATGTATACCTGCTCATAGATGCCAAGATACATTATTTTCTGTTTAAAATTGCTTGATTTCGCTTCTGTATATTCCCAGTTAATGTACTGCCATCTGACTTTCTTGTTAGAGAGACATTGAAAAATAATAAAGTATTGTCTTCCTCTGTTTCAGTATGTGCGTGAGCTATATCGAACGTTTTGAGAAGGACCTCTGCACTGATGTCATTCTTATGCAGAATAAAAGTATCGTCCACATATATCAACAGTAAGATGAGAGTTGGATGGTTACATTTTTAAGTGGACCATTCTCTAATTTCTCCATAAACATGTAATTGTAAAGCGTCATAAGAAATTACTGGAAATATGTATTGTCGAACATGTGCTTGTAGGTCTACATCATAAGATGTCCACTAGCGTTTAACTGTAAAATAGCTCGGCACATGGCTGACTCAGGACACCAGATCAACGCAGCCGAATCTTTTAAGGTGGTGAATAGAAAAAACACTTCACAACTACTCTAAAGTGCTGAAACTTTAACCACCGGATAAATGAAGGTTCGCTAACTGAAATCGGTGCGTAATCAAACGTGAAATTAGTCAAATCCTCGAAAATCAGCACTTAAAAACTACTTTTTCTACCAATAAGTTAGAAAAAGAAAGCTGATACTTACCAGTGTTTGTATTCGTAAAACATATTTCTTCTTCAGATTTGTATACAACGTTGCCTTGGACGAAAGTCGAATCGAGTGGATGATAATGAAGAAACTCTACAGCATCGGTAATGTTATTTATTTATGTATAAGTTTTGCACGTCATTGCCATTGTTAACTGCGATATTGCATTTCTTCAGTAGCTTTAATTGGGCCTGTATTTGTGTGTGGCCCTCTGTTTTTACGACAATTGGTTATCTTAATTGTTCTGTTTCTCTTGTCTCAAATGGTCTGTTTAGTGTGAACAAAGCGGTGACTGACCGAGTTTAAACACAGAACCTTAAATAGAAGTGCAACTTTTCAAGCTGTCACAATCCATGTGGCATACAAAGGCAGACGAAGGACAGAAAAAAGAGATTTAAAAAGACTATACTATTATTATTCCCTTGGGTTCCGAGTGGAACATAGGGCTTCACCAACAAATCTCCACTTCTACTCTCTGTTGTCCTCTTCAGCTGGCCCTACAACTGCCCATAATCTCTCATCACCTCGAGCACGATCTTCTCCATGTCATAACTGCACCGACGACCCACTCATCTCTTCGCATTGGGATTCTACTAGAGCGATAGCCTGTATTACGCGCGATGTCATTCGACGGTTTCCTTAGCGTATGCCCAGTCGATTTCCATTTTCTCCTGCATATTTGCTGAGCAATCGGCTCATGGTTGGTTTGTTCCACTGCAGAGTTTCTTGTTACTAATTTTTCCGGCTGGCCATTTGATCTTCAGTATGGAGTCAGCGAGGGCAGTTTTTGATTAAGTCTGCTGTGGTTTGTTGGAAATTCTTTTCATGATGCGCACACCAAGTTTCTGACCCGTATAGAAGCACTGACTGACTGACTTCACATTTGTGTTGAAAATCCGAATCTTGTTCATTATGCTGAGTTAGTGCAGATTTCCAAACTGGTTTTAGGTGTATGAAGGAGTACCTTGCCTTTCCGATTCTGGCTGGCCTTACATTTTCACCCGTGCATGAAGTGAAAAGTGCCTTCCAGATAAGTGAAGGAAGTAACCTCTCTCAAATCTCTCCCGATGCTGGTGATTGGTTGTTGTTGGTTGGTTATATGCATCACCTTCTTCTCCATGTTCACCTGCAGTCATGTCTTCGTTGGCTGTTTCTTTAACCAATTTGTTGGTTTTCACTTGTGAGTCTTCGAGTTTGTGAGACATTAAACATAAATCATCTGCAAAATCCAGATCTTCTAGAGCCTTATTATCAGTGCTCCAGCGTATTCCTATCTTCTCACTCCCTACAGTCTGACGCATAATTCAGTCCACCACCATTAAGAAAATCACCGTGGGTGATAGTAGGCAGCCAGCATTGTCTTACTCCAGTGTTCACTTCGAACGCCTCGCTGAATTTCCCGTCGTGGATCACCTGATACGTGACATTGTCAAATAGTTTTTGAATGAGATTGATTAAGATTTGGGGCATTCCACAGTGATGAAGTAGCTTCCAAATTACTTCTCTGTCAACGCTGTCTGTCGAAAGCCTTTTCGAAGTCGATAAAATTAAGGCCCAGGTTTGACTGCCATTCTTTGCTTTGTCCGATGACGACGCGTAGAATTGTAATTTAGTCAGTTCATGATTCGCCTTTCCTGAATCCAGCTTGTTCCGGGCTAGCGGAGTCCTGCATCCAGTATATCCTTTTAGCATCTCCAAGATGACGCTACTTGGCTTGGAGAAAAGCATTATTCCCCGCCAGTTCTTGCAGAGGCTTAAGGTCGCTCATTTTTGGCAGCTTGACAAGGTAGCCTTTCAACCAACAGGTATCTTCCCTTCCCTCCTTACAAACCTTTTGCAATAATGGTGTGAGCACATCTGACGTAAATGTAAAGGAGAAAGATAGGAACATGCAAAGAGATGATTGTTTAGTGGATACACGTCACAAGGTGTATGCATCTTCACAATTGTGGACGATTTTGAGCCATATCACCAATTATCTGCAGCTGTTTCTTAAAACTCCGGAGACCCCAGCCAGGCAGTCTACACTTCTTAGCATGGTTCAAAACATCTGTCAGAAGCTTTGTGGTTTTTGTCTGACCGCCGTTAACTCTTTTCCAACTTGATCATATGTCTGCTAACATTGTTAATCGAGGTGGGCGATTGCTAGGCCTGAGCAACACATGTCCTAGCCATTTCAGTCGATGTAGATTCACAATCTCATCGTTTGATTTGCTTTCCTTACCTAGCACTATACGCCTAACCTCACTATTATTCATAATATTATACTGCCTAACATGTGAGACGGAACATAAGCACCTTTAATGAACTGTCGTCAAGATTTGACAGAATAATTCTAAAATATTTGGGCGCCGAGTGGGAAGTAGACATTTGTAAAAAATTTATTTGTAAAATCTTAGCGAGATTGAAATGAGTAATTCCAACGTTTAGTTCGGCAATCTGGTTCGAACTTCTTCGGGGAAATTACTCATTTCAATCTCGCTGAGATTTAACAAATAAATTTTTTACAAATGTAAGGCCCTTTAGTTACATACAGGTAACCTTTTCATATCTTCCATTTTAAATGGTCATGTTTCACACCCATAAAGGAGGCAGAATAGACCACTGCGCAGAATCGGATATCATATTTATGCCAGATTTGACCTAAACTGGAAAATACCACATGAGCCTTTTGTTGATATTTTGTTTGCAATCTGTTCATTGAGGCTGATGCAACTCCTCAAATAATTAGATTGGTAAGCACACTCAATCACTTAACGCTCTATCTTCAAACTATGAATTAGTGCAGTCCAGTCGTTCAGCATAATCTTAATTTAATAGAGGAGAATTGCATGCTAAGCATTCGAAGTTTTCTGTTAAAGGTGTTCAGAAAACTATGCATTTTATCAGCGCCTTCACCTAGAAGGATAATATGATCCGGATACTCTAAATCAAGAAGGCTGTTTCGCTGTAACTAGTCACTGAAGTCATTTAGGATCAATTCCATTAGTACATGTATAGTGACAATAAAGTGAAATAGATAGAGTGAATATCCCTAATAGATACCATTGGTATTCATTACTTCAGATAACAATTCTCCATAAGCTCTTACACTTCTGCCTGAGGTCAAGTGCCCTGCTTAGTGGGAAATAATTTTTCTGCTCTCCCTTCATGGTCAGAAATCGCCATGGCACCTCCCTGTCGACGGAGTCGAATTGCGCCTTTAGGTCGAGAAATGTATTTGTTTCTCTCTATCACCTCTTGAGTGTAGCTGTAGGGTAGTTAAGTTGCTTCTCCTGTTGCTGAGACCCAATTTAAGCGCCGCTTTTCTCGGAGATTGTCTCACTTATCATTTGCTTTTTGCAACTTGTTTCTCTAATAAGTCTAAATGTTTCCTATCATCGATGCCTTTTAATCTCTCTCGCTTTTTTCGCCCACCACTGTTCGCTGTCGTGGTGAAGACGTTTGATCGGTTTAAGCAGCTTTCGCCGCTCATCATGTTCAGAACTTGCTGAAACCAATCTTCCCGAGTCAGTCAGTTCGGGTGAGGCAGCGGAAATCCCCTGGCATGTTTCAGGTTATCAACAGCCTTTACCACTGTTTCTACAGCTGACTGGATGCTACGCCATGCTTCCTCGGGATGAGTCTTGTTGTCAATTTCGGATACACACTTATCTATTCGTTCTCTGAATAGGGACTTAGTGTCCTGATCAAGCTGGAGGCGTAATGGCTTCATCGCTACCTGTTTTCTGTGTTCGTTTTGTTGTAGGCATATACGTGCACAAACCAGGGCGTTATCAGAGTCCATGCAAGTTTTCTAGCAGAAGCGGCAGTTTTCTACGGACCATCGCCATCGACAGCTTATAGCTACTTAGTATATCTCAGTCCATCGCTAGTTTGATGAGGGAGGTCGCCATGTTAGGCTAGCTCTCTCTTTGTGTTTGAATTAAGTATTGACCAGCAAAGGATTACTGTCTGAATAGAATTGTAGAAGAAGATCACCGTTGTCGCTTCTTCGACATGGAACTCCGTAGTTACTCTCAGGATACTTCTCGGGCTGGAACAACTTTACTTGAGGATTGAGGTCACATACTAAAAAGACTATATCTGAGTGTTTTGCTTTTATGAGCAAAGGAGGTAGTTTTGCTGCTAAAAGTGCTAACCAGTTAAGTTGCCATCCGCATCACCACAACATTAATTCTTGTTTTTTGCTACTTCTATACACAGCGGCTTCACGTGTAATTATCCTATACATGCCATTTGAAATTCTCAGGTTTCATTCCTGAAAGAATTCGGTTGTATAACTTATTAATCACTTGGGAGACATGGAATTATTTTCATTGATTCTCACTAGATAGATAAATTTGTTCTGAAAGTAACCCTTCTTTTAAAGCAATGATTACGCAAGTCTAAATGTCGTCTGAAAAAGAACATTTCACTGTAGATCATTGATTCAATAGGAAATACTGTCCTCTAGTATTTACATGGTGGGTAATTTATTGTTGGAATTTTCCCCGGCCAGGCAACGTGATGCATATTCGATTTCTGTCTCATGCAGTCCTTAAACTCACCGTCACGGCACAAATTCAAAGTGTATATATTCTAGCTGTTGCGATTATGTGGTACTGTGCACTTTTATAATTATACACATCTGTTCACTCATCACTGAATGGTTATCTTTCGTCTAAGTAGCCAGTATGTTATTGCGTAGTAGGATGATATTTTTCACATTTTGAAGGTAACGATTCTGACAACTGCTTGAAAATACCAACAATGCTTAAGTTAAAGAAAATGACAAAAGTTAAGTACTTTTACAGTTCTGGCTGGAGACAAAGCTGATTTTACCTAAGTTTTCTCCGTATAACTTCAATAATATAGTATAAACACATCATCCTCACGCTTATGTCACGGATAATCCAAGATCGGAATACTCCTGCGATCCTTTTGTAGGAGTTGGACAAACTTTAACCACCTACCTGCCTTTCTACTTCCCTATGCACTATGTATGTGTGCATGTTATTGCCTTGTTAGACTATTTTGTCTATTTACTCAAAGTTGAATATTCTTTCTCCATTTGGTGGTTGTAGATCCATAGTTCTCCATTCTTCTTCAGAATTTTTTTCCAAAATTTCTTCTATGGCAAAAGTTAAGGGAATAACGAAACTTGACAGATCTGCTTAATACTATGCATTTTCAACAGACAGCAGACTTTCATCAATAACTCCCTTCGCGCCGTACATAAGACTAGATGGTCGACCCGATCAGAAAGGATGATCAACAAAGAGCTCTGACAACCTGTAGCCCAAAAAATATGCAGAAAGATTTGGACATACACTCAAGAAAAAAAATGGTTGACATCACACATCCCAAGCAGGCCCTCGAATGGGAAACTACAAGTTAGGTTGGGGGTTAAAGGTTGACATAGTGGGGATAATATGAAGAGGAAATAAATGCCTACGGGGAGTCGCGGGATGAGCTAAAAGAGACTATTGATAGTTGACAACTGAGTGTGTTACTAAGGCCCTGTGAGAGAGAGAATAAAATGATAGTAATAAACTTCCCAATTATTAAAAACTTCATAACATTGTTTATTGGTAATCCTAGTTTTCTTCCTTTGGGTTTTTTTCTTTAAGTATAAAACAGTTCAAGGAACAGTGTATGCCAGTGATTCAATTTTATGATGCACAAAATCTAGTGACAATAATTGATGCAAAGAAGTCGATACCGGAGGTAAGTAAAGTTCTATGTTATATTCGAGTTTTTTCTTCCTCTCAACAAAACAAAATGATTTCCTCAGCAGTGAAAAAAAACTTCCGCGTAGACATGCCTCTCTTCCTCTCACTGACAGCAACGAAATTGATTACTGTATAGTGCGTCGGTGGCACAGTGGTTAGGACTCTCGCCGACCATGCACATCGTCCGAGGTTCGATCCCCTGACGACGCACACCTGATATCTATGGCCGGCCTGCAAAATTTGGGCTATCGATGCTATCCATGCTGAAAATTCTATACTTGTACCAAAATTACAGTGTGGAATCAAGCTGTGATCAAAAATAAATAAATAAAATAATAAAAGGTGTATATGAATAAAACAAGTACTAAAGTAAGTGATAAATTTGTAACAGAAGAATAAAGTCTAGGTATTGTTGTAAGGTACGCCGGGAATGCGTTTCATGAGCATGTCTGTCTGTCTGTTTTCGACATAGAACTTTGCACATATGTGCGGCAGTTCAAGTCGCCACACTCCGTGTAGCACGCGAAGCAAGAGAAGAAAGTACAAGAAAAGCATAATAGAGACAGTGAGCAGAGGTGTGAGACAAAGGAGGAGTAATAACGAAGAACAACATAGTTTCATTGGAAATCATAAGTCACAAGGAGTGGATGCATCTGCGCCACTGAGAACGATTTTGAGCCATGTCACCAATTGTTTCCAACCTTAGATTTTTACCGTCCCGAGGACCCCAGCCTGAAAGTCTACACCTTCCTACGTGTCTTAGACCAACTGTTGTGGATTTCATTGACTGGTGCCAAGTTTTTTGTTTGACCGCCGCTAGCTTTTTACCAGCCTGACCCTATATCCGCTAACATTGCTCGTCGAGAAAGGCGATGACTAGGCATACGTAACACATGTCCTAACCATCTCAGTCTTTGTAACTTCACGACTTCGTCGATTGATTTCCCCTGTTTACCTAGAAGTCGACGCCTAACATCAATGTTGCTCACCTTATTATGCGCAGGACCGAACGGAATGATGAGCAGTACACCCACCTTTTGGTCGATAGTCGAACATCTCGTCTACGCCAGAGTCGGCGTAAACTGGCAAATGCGAAACGAGCCCCCTGTATTCGTGCTGAGATTTCGTCAGAGATCAACCCGTTGGGGCTGATGGTACTTCCCAAATAAGTGAAGCGGTCAACGTGCTCTACCACTTCACTTCCTATTTTTAAACTAGGCGTCGATGTAGTCCAGTCCTGTAACATCATCTTGCATTTGGCGGGAGCGAATCGCATGCCAAACATTCGTAGATTGCGGCTCAAGGTGTTTAGAAGACTCTGCATTTCGTCAGCGTCTTCGCCTAGAAGGACTATATCGTCTGCATATTCCAAGTCAACGAGATTATTCCCCCCGGTAGCAAGTCAATCCCTGAGTCGCTGAAGTCACCTAGGGTTAAGTCCATTAACACATCTATGATGAAGTTGAATAGAAAAGGGGATAATGGGCATCCTTGACGGACACCACTGGTCGTCATCAGTTCAGATGACAGCTCGCCGTAAGCCCTCACCTGGCTGTATGAGTACGAGTAGAGTGCCTTAATCAGTGCAATATATTTTCTCGGAATTCCCTTTACAGCCAAGCATCTCCAGAGAACTTCTCGATCGACAGAGTCGAATGCTGCCTTTAGGTCAAGAAATATAATGACTGTTGGACGCCGGTAGGAATGCCTATGTTCTAGAATCTGTCGGAGGGTGAAGATATGATCAATACACCCTCTTCCTGGTCTAAAGCCTGCCTGGCTCTCTCGTGTTTGTGCTTCCCGAGCACCACTCAGTCTACGCATGATTATTGAGCCTAAGACTTTAGATACTATATTAGTCAAGCTAATCCCTCTGTGATTATCACAGGAAGACTTGTCTCCCTTCTTGTATATGGGGATAATCAGTGACTTACACCAACCCGATGGGACTTCTTCTGATTCCCAGACGCTGCCTAGTACCTCAGTTAATCCAGACAGTAAGCTGTCTCCACCGTACTTAAATACCTCTGGAGTCATTCCATCAGGTCCCGCTGCTTTGCCTAGTTTCAGATTGGTGACAGCTTTAGTAACCTCAGTTAGTGACGGAGGACCTGTGTCTATATCCCATTCAGGGAGGTGTTGGATGCTCGGAAGGTTGAGCGTGGCTGTGGGCAAATTAAACTGCTCCTCATAATGCTCTTTCCAACGATCCAGTCGTCTATCCTGGGAGCTAATTATAGTGCCATTTTTTTCCGAGATTGTCTCACTGATGATTTGTCTTCTCCCACCCGTTTCCCTGATGAGTCTAAAGAGTTGCCTGGTGTTGCCTATCCTCAAGCTTTCTCCATCTCTTTGGCTTTTGTCGCCCACCACTGTTCACGGTCCTTGCGGAGACTTTTCGTAAGTTTCCTCTTGTGCAGCTTTCGCTCCTCATTGAATTCGGAGCTCGCCGGAATAAGTCTTCTAGCATCTATCAGTTCGGATGAGGCGGTGGAGATCCAGTGGTTTTTACTCACCTTTGGGTTTACCTTATTCACAGCTTTTACAGCTGTATCTATGGCTGCCTGGATATTTTTCCAAGCTTCTTCAGGGTGAGCACAGCTGTCGAACACAGATATGTGTTTAGCTAGTTCTTCCTCAAATACGGATTTAGTTTCCTGATCGAGCTGGGGACGTGATGGTTTTACCGCCAGCTGTTTCCTACGTCCGTTCAGTCGTAAGCACACCCGAGCGCGGACCAGTGCATGGTCGGTATCTACGCACGTGTTCCAGAAGGAGCGACAATCTCCTACCGACCCACGCCAACGATAGCTTATTGCTATGTGGTCTATTTGTGTCCAGCGTTGGTTTGATGAAGGGGGTCTCCAAGTCAAACAGTGTCTCTCCTTGTGTTTGAAGTTAGTGCTTACAAGAAACAAATGATTATCAGAGCAGAACTGTAGGAGACGGTCACCGTTGTCGGTTCGCTGGCACGGAACTCCATAGGTGCCACCGACATCCTTCTCAGATTGACACAATTTCCCTACTTGAGCGTTAAAGTCACCAGCTAGAACGACTATGTCTGAGCGTTTAGCCTTTCGCACCAAACTAGACAGCTTTTGGTAGAACTCATCCTTCGTTTCATCTGAACTGCAGTCAGTGGGGGCGTAGGCGGAGATTACGAAAAGGCATCGGCGAGTAGTGCAGTCCTTCCTCCTTCTTACTGATCCGTTCAGGCGGACAGCACACATTCGGCTATCTACCGGGATCCAGTCAAGCAATGTCTTTTCTGCCCTAGTACTCAAAGCTATCCCTACGCCAGCTAATCCTCGTGAACTAGCTGTGGCATCTCCTGACACCCTCAAGGTGAATTTTGCAGATTCAACCTGTTGGCCAGGTGGGGTTAGGTGAATAACCACACTTGGGTCTTGTATGCGTGTTTCTGAAACACAGCATACATCAATGGCTCGTGATGCCAGGGTCTTGGCTAGTGATGCTTGTTGTCCTATTTGGCAAAGTGTCCTAACATTAAGAGCTCCTATATGAAATTGGTGGCGCGGCTTTAAGAGGCTGTCGGTGGTGGTTTTTTGGCTTCCATCGTTTTTAGTGGACGCAGAGTGGAGAGGAAGTGGAGAGCTATCAAGTCGAGGAGTTGCATCAGTGGAAGGAAGGCAAGATGATAGAGATGAAGATGAAGACAAAGATGAGTGAGTAATAGAGAGGTTTCGTGTGCATTTCGGATTGTGAGGGCGATTGTTACTTCCCGGCTGCCCACACCGTGGAAGTTGGTTGCGTGACCGCAGAGCCCAGGGGACAACTGCTTGAGGCCGGTCACACGCGGCCTGTTTTTGTTTGGTGTGTCTCAGTAGCAGATTTATCACTCCTGCCCTGTGACACGGCAGCAGGAAGCGCGGTCGTTGTTAATCCGGGCCACGGCCGATCCGGCATGAAATTTTGTATTTATCATGATGTTGGATTGGGTAGCTGCTTTTTGTTTAACCGCTATCCAAACAACCTGCCTGGCATGGTAGGACCTCAAGAGACATAAGTCTCAGCCAGTATAGCTTGAATAGAACATTGCGGTGTTCAAGCCCGATCACCACGTCAAGGTAGCAGCTTTCGGTCGGGTTTCATGAGCATAGGCGCAGTCAGCTTCAAACTAATTCCCACCGACTAGGTAGCTTTCTACATACCACTATGTCGGGTACACTAGAAGTTTTTTCTCAACTATTATATACATTAGTAGAACGTAAACGTCTCTATTAGGATACAATTGTTTACAGATGTTTTAGTAATCATAGTCAATACTGTCGACACAGACTCTAGTCTTTGCTACAGTTAAAGGGCAAGTAAGGTGCCTTAGAACTTTCCTTGTTTGTAGAACTTTTAGCGTCATCCGATGGTCACTTCCTTCTGTGTAACATTGTACGGTGTCTTCAACCTTCAACAGTGCAAGACCTCTGGTCTTGGTTTTCTCTTTGAAACGAAGTCTACGCATCAAGTAATTTGTCTTTAAACTACTGATGTCGTTCTAAAAGTACCCTGCCAAACATAACATACAAGATATAACGCATGAGCATGAATGCTTCAGAGTATTGTTTGTTAGTTTTCTCTTTTTTAAATTGGACTGTGAAATTTGATCCATCGACACTTCGTATCTAGGGTCAAAATCATAGTTAGGTATTATAGAGATGTCAAAGTCTTCACAGTGTCTTTCTGTGGAATGTCCACTAACTAGCAATTCATATATAGTGTTAGCAATATCCAACTGCTCCTTGACAAACAAGCTCGTAGCTGTTCTTTGCTATACCACAAGCAATTTCTACCCATTCTTGTTAAGATCGAACATGGAATTACAAGATTAAGCTTCTATGTTCCTAGCAAATTTCAAGTTCGAAATATTATTCGTCTGCCTAGGTGTTAGGTCGCATTCCTGTACTTCGCTAGAGAGTAGTTTGCCCCAAAATGCTTTTATATGTGTTACTAGCGATAAATGGTGTGAACACGGGCAGTAATTTTGCTCGAAATATTACCAGAAACAAAACTTATCATTGTGCAAACCACTGAAATATAATTATACTTTTGAATTAAATTTTTGCTTTTCCCGTCGATTGATTGGACCGAAGTGCTCGGTCTCAGGTTGACATGTCGGCTTCATGTGCAGATGCCTCGACGATGTCTGGGCATTTAATTGGTATACAATTGGTGGATGGTGGCTAGCAGTGGAATCCAGGATGCGCATTTCGTCTTATTTGGGACTCGTCAGCTGGATGTAGCTGCATTTCTCAGTGAGTGATGATGTTCCCATGGTGTGCCTCGGTGGGAACATCATCACTTACTGAGAAATGCAGGTACATCCAGATGACGAGTCCCAAATAGGACGAAATGCGCATCCTGGATTCCACTGCTAGCCACCATCCACCAATTGTATACTAATTATACATTATTTGGCTATAATACACCTTCGTTAGAATGCTCACTCTTGACATTCGATGTTTTTATTGCGTCGGTGGCACAGTGTTTAGGACTCTCGCCGATCATGCACATGGTCCGGGGTTCGATCTCCTGCCGACGCACACCTGATATTTATGGTCGGCCTGTAAAATTTGGGCTATTGATATCCATGCTGAAAATTCCATACTTGTACCGAAAATACAGTGTGGAATCAAGCTGTAAATCAAAAATAAAAAAATATTGGGTTAACTGTATCTTAGTCATTATCATGGTAAAACTGGCATTCATGCCTATTTTACCTAATGTGTTTGCTTGTTTGGCCTAGGATACGTGGTCATTTCCCAAAAGAATTCTCGAAGTGTACATGTATTTCTCTAGTGCATATTAGTACATAAAATCGAGTTTATGCGTGTGTATGAAGTGAGCAACTATGGCGTGTCTCAAATTGTTTGCGTAAACTTCACTGAAAAATATCCTTCCATTTAAAATAATCAATGCAATTAATTTTAAATTTTTTCTGTACTGAATTGTGAAGGTAGAATTTAAAACAATCCATGCCAGTACAATTCCAATCGGTAATTATACATGATAACCTTTGAAGAGCAAAGCGGTAACACTAAGAGTATTAGAGGTTTGTGAGATGATGTACAGGTTATACATGATTGTGTAATGACTTATGAGATCCTTTTTAGCTGCTTGGACTGAAGGCTGTATGGCTTAGATTGAGTGCCTTGAACCGCACCACCAATTAACAAGAAGAAAGCAATAACGCAACTAGTAGGTTTGGAACAATTTAATCACTCGTCTATACTTTGCTTTCTAACCATGCGAACTATGGTTTTCTCATCTTGAATTCTATGCCTCATCTCCTCATATCTGTTGGTTATCAAGAGACTGCTCGATATACATGAAAGCTATATTAATGACAGCTAAAGCGGTGTATAGACAATGAGCTGAAAAACAATTGTTGATGAACCTATTTCGTTTGTTGACTTCACTAGTGATCGGTGAAATAATTTGGGAGTGGTCTATGATCATTTGTAGCTTGGAAGATAAGCTCTCTTAGTATTGAATTTAGTGCAGTTACAAATATTTTCCTTTAGTCCCAGTATTGTTGTTATATATGGTGGTGATAAATGTAAACCGCTTGTCTTGAAACTTAACACTTATAAATAAACACAAATTTCATTTCATTTCAGGTATACGATCAAGTTCGACAAATGATGAAAAAGTTGGATAGTTGATAAATAATAAATCAATTAACTAACCGAATTGTTCTGTAACTTATACAGACTCTATTCTATTTCCTGTGATTTTCTCCATCTCCCTTGTTGGAGGGTTGGCACCTCCTTAATACTGCTATTATTTTTTTTGTTTTTCAAAGTCAGCTATGGTCATCACCTAACTTAAGGTTACAGTATATTATTTATATTGTGTGAGAATTACACTGCCTTCTCTGTAGATATTAAAGCCTACAAAACACTTCAGGAAAATATATGTATTGTTTGGTAAACTGTGACTTCCACAAGTAAGGTATGTGTTTGCATTTGAGTATATGATCGGTTAACGGTTAACATTCAAACGCTTACTAAGTGATGAGTAGACATTATGTGACCATACACGAAGCAGCATCAGCTTAGGTATTTCAGTACATATTCGCTGTGCAGATTTGCATATATTCCAGTCAGTACAAAATAAGACACATAGTTAACAGACATTTCTTTAGATGATGACCTTATTTATTAGAAGACAGGGTCTACCTGAAGAGTTTTTTCGTAATACGATTCGAACTGTCTGATCACATATTTTACTTATCACAACAATTTATATACAAAGTAAAAGGCCAATAATTCTTTACATACAAATAGTTTTGACAAGTAAACGCGTCCCAAATGCATTGCGCAAATATATATAACGATTTTTAGGTAAACTCCGTCTATGAATAACACTAGTGAATATTAAAAAAAGGAAAGGAAATTGAGTGTTTTAAGTACACACTTCTTCATGATAACACCACAAATGACAGAGGTTGGTGAACAGAAATAGGGCAAAAAACCGAGTTCAGTTTATTAATCTTACAACAAAACAGCAACATTGCATTGAAATTTTGATTTACTACATGAGAAATGAAAGTGATATACACTGTGGATTCCACTACCTGCGATCAAACAAAAAATATCAGATTATAGAGTTTTAACGTAATACTGAGGCTTTCATGGTACCTAAGAATCTAGATGTAAACAGAGAAATCCATCAACTTCGACTAGAAAAATGTACGACTGTTAATCGCAAGCATTATTATTTAACAACTAATATTCGTTCAACAGGAAAAGATTCAGACGTTAAAGTGAAGGTGTTGACAACGTCAGGTGCTTTGTAGGCACGAGCATACTCATGAAGTGCGGTGCATCTAAGCCAATAAGTTCCTAAATAAAGTAACAATTACACCTCAAATTCTGCTGCTAGGATAAAAATTGTAGTTAATTTATTGGAAAACTTCAAAAAAGTATTGTTCACTTTTTCAAATTTAGGGAGAACCAGTGGTCGTTACATACTTCAGTCGGAGTGTCTGCATAAACTACCGACAATATTTTATCAAAGCTAAAAAAGTAAACTCAAGTAAAGCATATGTTCGCTGTTAGATATTTTGTTTATGTATACAGCCAATTGCTCATTAACTTTTAATAATTGAATCGAATATCACTGATGTCAAAGAGTGCAAACATTATTAACAGGAGAAGTGACATCCTAGTAACACTGTCGTGTGTAAATCATAGATAGAAGATATTGTAGTTTCAGTGTGTGGGAATCAGGAACTGTGGTAGTATTTAATTCTAGAAATACCCACTAGCAATAACGTCGAACTTCAGCCCACGTTTAGCATGAGTTTATACAACAGTGAGCGCGTGTATAATTATTCCTTGAAGAATGCTCAGTTGAGTGAACAGAATGATAACTAACCCATCATTAAACAATCAAACCAATTTTCAAGAAAGACCGGATGAGAGAAATGATCGTAGACAAGGAAGCGTAGAATTCATAACTGAATAAACTGGGATGTTGTTCTCATCTTCTATCACATATCAACTTTATATTTCATATCCAGTGGTGCATTGTTTGAAATGTAAACTCTACGCTGTTTGTTTTTTATTTTTATTTATCTCTAATTTTTTTGGCGTTGGTTTTTATTTTAAAAATCTTATATAATTTATGAGGTAATTAGATGCAATATACTGTAATGCACGCTGAAAATTCCATACCTGTACCACAAATACCGTTTGGAATAAAGCTGTTATTATTATTATGTAGCTGAATATTCCCCCCCCCCCTAAATATGGTAGTTCAAAATTTAATGCCGCAGTAAATAGGCTTCGACAAATAGTCTGAGTTACCACTATTCATATCCATCGTTCATAAGACTTTGAAATCACTTTCCTTAGAACTAAGCGTAAGCGAACAGCCAAATGGTGGATTCCATATGGCTTTACCCTAACTCTATATCTGTGTTCTAATAAAAATGTTATCGTGATAAAAATAAGGGTCTACAACTTAAAGCTGCTCCTATTTTCATTCGGTCTAAAAATAACCTGAATTCCTTGTATTAGTCGTAAAATGCAATCGAAAACACCAAATGAGTAAATCTTTGGGAAGAATTTTGCAAGTTTTTAAAGTGATAAGATATATAAGTATTCAAGTAAACATGCTTATTTTGACGAAACTAGTATAAGACATCAACTACTCCGTAATCACATGAGGAGTCTTAGCCTATCTCTGTTAGAATACTTACTTACATTGTCTCTACCACCTTTCAAAAGGCTTTCCAATGCATGAGTAGTTAAGCAACGCCATCCAGTAGGCATAATAGTAAATTGAATGCGGAACTCATCAGTTCAATCACTTCAAGTGTAGTAAACTAACCCAGGGGAACAAACCTATTATATGTACTTCAACCTGGACAATCGACCAACAGTAGAAAACTTTTTCACCGTACAAGCTCTATGAAGCCAACAAACTAGTACGGATTTGCTGAGTAATATGAGTTTGATACTAGTAATATTGAAAGGGATACATGACCAAGTACCGCATGTAACACACAAACGCTAAAGTTCGTTTGGGAGTAACTGAGTTTGCTGATATATTGACACATTATTTCATTACATTCCTAACGATATTTAACAGTTCTGATCATGTCTTTTGTTATGTTGAACGGCAACAGATGATAGTGAGTGCCGACCCAAAAAATCACTGTCAGCTCATTTGGCTACTTTTCCAAATACCGTTTCAGTCACATTCATTGGAAGTTGTGAAGTTAATTAGTTATGCTGGTAAAATAATTGATAACGCCTTCTAACTACGTTATATTCTCTCCACTGCTTTGTATTGCTTCAACCGATTACAATATCTAATGATAAACTCTAAACTTGCGATTCTGTTTGTTAATTATATAACACAGAAAATCTGAATAACTTTTTCCTTAAACAACATCAAATTCTTCATCAGAAAGCAACAGAGTCAACTAGCCAACACATGAAGTATGCGACGATAGGATACTTGTCACTGGCATTGAGTATTCTATGTTGAAAGATATTGTAATCAAATCTCCTAAATATTCTACAATGGCAGGCTTTGTATCATTCAATAAATACTCATTATCGAAGGCTCATATAAGCAAGTAATGCGAAATATCCAAATGGTGAAAGGAAATTCAGGTGCTCGACAAATTGTCAAAAAAAGTTGAAAATATTGACAAAAATAAATAAAAAGGAACATAATCCAAAACACTACTTATAAAAAATGCGTATAAAAAGTAACTTAGTACTTAATTATGAAAATAGTAATCATAATGAAAAAGAGGAAAAATCCAAAGTTGGAGATTTGAAATAAATAATCTCAAGATGAACAGTTTTTCTATGTTCATCAAAAGACAACTTTATGTGCACACTGTCCATGCAACTGATATATGAAAGACTAATTTATGGTAGTGGTAAAATTACATAAGATTTACATTTAATTGCTTTGTGATCAGTGTATATATTATGCTTAAGTATATATATATATATGTTGGTTTCTTTCACCATGTGAGTCACGACACATACATAAACGGGTATTCAGTACAGAAAAAAAAACAGAAGTATTCGACGCTTCCTCATTTTTCCTGAATTACACAGTTCCATACTTACATATTACTTGTCTTTCTGATTGGGATGTATGTTAAAGGAAGACAAGAGGTGCTTGGGACAAATGCAATAATCACCCATAACACTAGTATAGTCATCACCGGGACTTTATAATAACAATGATTGATAATAGTTGTAATAATGATGTGACCTACGAGTAAACCAAACCAAAAAACTAGTTTAATGCAATGGCGCTAATGAATGAATATCCATCAAACATAAAATAGTAATAGCGTTGAGATAAAACTGAATCGTGCTTCATTAAATTGGCTAGTTATTTAATCAAGGGTATTTCTTTCGTTTCAATACAAACAAACTGATTAACTCGCATATAGTGAAAAGTATATTCAATATCTTCTAAAAGTAGGTGTGATAGTAGTAGTAGTAGTACTAATAAATATAGTAATAATAGTATTATGTTAGATAAGAGTGAATGATAAATGGTAACTTTATGCAATAAATACAATAGTTCAGTCAAGAAAGATGAATAATGAAGTATAATTGCTTAAGAAATAACAACAAAGAACTACACACTATCAGACCACATAAATATTGACTTCCTGCACATATACATCCTATCAACAATTAAATAACAACAAGAGAAAGGAAGACATTAAAAAATTTGCATTTAAGGGATCTATACAAAAGAAAATTCAAGTAGATGAGCCATTAGTAGGATTTGATGTGAAAGACTTTATACAAGATTTTCCAGAGGGAACAACAACAGCCAACTGACTGTTACAATTAGAAAGTCTCAAAAGTTCATTGGGAACACATTCAATTACAGTTGTTGAAGAGGATGAATTAGACTTTGTTTGGTTAATGCGAGCAGTGTGTTCACGGTTTGGGTGTAACGTCCGTTGTGGGTCATGTACAGGGACTGTAGGATGCTTACTATTTCGTTCTGTACCTGAAACAGATGTATTGGACCTAGGCAATTTCGTATGCAAAAACGATACTGAATCCAAGTGACGTGTGGATTTTCCATCAGAAGAAACATCGTAATTACCTGAGATGCGACTACGCTTGGATTTGGTAGAACTGTAAGGATCATCTGAAATTTCTCTTTCTGATTTGTGAATAGTTCGTTTACGGTTCAATGCTTCTTTTTCATCACACACTGTTTCAGTGGCATTTACATCGGACTCTCCATTATCTGGTGGAGGGCTACTAGATCTCAATTCGGTTCTTTCAGAAAAAGGAGAATCTGAAGATGGCAGACTTATTTCCACTTCAGAACTTAAATTAAGTTCATCATCATACAAGTTTTCATTTTGAGAACTAGAGTATGGCTGTTGCTGCAGCACAGGATTAGAATTATCGTGCTTTTTATTTTCAGTAGATGGGTTGTTGTCATTAGTGTTGCCTGCTGAAGCCAAGATTCGTGCACAACACTCAGGTTCAATTTTTCCTAGTTCAGCAGCCAAGAATCCAACAGTAGTTCGACCTAATTGCAGTCTCTGTTGCATCATTATTAGAGAGTTGCCAACGAATTCCGTTTCACTTTCGGCTTCTTCGACTAAATACTCCATATCTGTAATCGTAAATGTTTAAAAAAACCAAAAAAGAAATGATTACTAACAAAAGTGAAAAAACTCCGTATGACAAATAAGGACAGAATAACTGGTAAGCATACTAAGAATTTAATTTGATTAGCTAGAGATACTTTGTCATCATACACCAACCCATAAATCTATCACAATATGGCTCGATATAATTCAAAAGGCTAACGAATACTTTTAACAATAGAGACGATTAATATTCTGAAATTGTTAGCTGTGTGCGTCGGTGGCACAGTGGTTAGGACTCTCGCCGACCATGCACATGGTCCGGGGTTCGAGCCCACGCCGGTGCACACCTGATATCTATGGTCGGCCTGCAAAATTTGGGCTACCGATATCCATGCTGAAAATTCCATACTTGTACCGAAAATACAGTGTGGAATCAAGCCGTAAATCAAAAAATAAATAAATAAAAAATAATTGACCTAAGAATACGTGAACACGGAATCTAATACAAGATAAGGTGGTTTCAGACGTCAAGCTTTACAACAAAACAAGACTAATATGAACAAAATTGATACAACATCGAGATAGAAACAAGATTATCATGAACACAATGAAAAAAACTACTTTTCGAGCATTAGATAGATGTTGATACAAATAAGAATGACTAGGAGTATATAAAAGAGAATAAATATACTCGGTGATGTGATAAACTGACAAAACACTCAACAACTAAATGCTACTCATTCCAAGATTAGGTCAGTTATGTGATGACTATACACTAGTGAAAAACCAGCCAGTGTGCTTAAATTTAATAAGTTACGTACCAGTTTTTACAGCGTTAATTTAAAAATTAAGGATCAGCAAATCAGACAACCTTCCTAGATTGTAAGAGTTAATATTCAAAGTCGTCTAGTTTCCTGGCTAATGCTGAAGCTTGGGAAAAGAGCGTAGGTTAGGTGTTGGGCTACTAACCAAATCCTGAGGAAACGTATCGCAAAGGAAAGCAGATAAGAGATAAATTGACTCTCTGCTCACACTGGGAAGACCCTTTAAGTTGACGACGGATGATCCTGAGCAGTAACACCCTTCAGGAAGACAATGGACCAATAGGTCTTCTTCCGATGAAAGTAGAAGTAAACATAAGGGCATCGAATGTCCATACGATGTTTGATGCTACTCAGATTGTGAAAGAAATGAGAAGATATACAGAAGTGTTAGGAATTTGAGAGAGCAAATGAAATGGAAGTCGACTCTCCAAAGTGTTAACTGGAGAAACAAGTAATCTGCTCCAGCCACCCAGACGACAACCACAAGCACACTAAGCGTGTATCTATAGTGATGTCACCTACTTCATTCAAGGCGCTTATGTATTATGAATCAATATAATCAAGGATCATAACAGTAGGGTCTAAATCAAAAGGTAAGAAGGTTACTACACAATGCTACCCTCTACAAATAACCAAGACCAAGAGAAGGAGGAATTCTGCGGACAACTGTAAACAGTAATTGACAAGAACCAGTTGGTCACATCGAAATTCTAGAGGGTGATGTGAGAGGAAGTCACACCGGGATCAGACAACACAGGAAAAGAACTAGTCACACGTCAAAAATGCTTAGTAAAAGGAAGAAAAACGGAGAACTTTCCTCAGACTTCTGTGTGCTTAGTGATTGACGGCAGTGTGTACGAACACGCTGATATTCACAAGGCGACGTGGATTTCACCAAGTGGACAACACGTCAAAAACACTTCGTCTCGACTTTAAAGAAGTGGAGACTAAGCCTATTGGATGCAAGACCGAGATTTAACATCACTACTACTGCAACGAACCTTCAAAGAAGCTAGAGATAGACCACAATACTCAGAGACGGAAGTACAAAGTACACATTAACTGCAGCCATCAGAGCGAAATTGGAGGCACTAAGTAGCATCATCGAGGAAACGTGTGTGTGAGAGAACACTCGAAGTCACTGAAAGTCACATGGAAGGAAACTTGTATAACCATATTACACAAGAAGGGGTAGGACAAGGAGTGGCTAACTTGGGAACTCATCGAGGAGAGTGAAGCAGATGGACCCGTGTTAGGAAGAACAACAGAGCACTGGACTAATGAGTGAGGAAGAACGCTAGAAAATACAAAAGACACTCTCACAGAACACTGGCTACCGAGGTGGAACAGGCCGCAGGTGAGATGTACTTCAGAACGTTGCACCAGATAACCAGGTCGCCATCCAGGAAGAGATCAACACAGATGAAACCAATGAAAAATGTTGACGGTAATCTGGTCACACGAGAGGTGAGATAGAAAACGATGGGCTGGTCAGCGCAGAAGAGTCTCGAGTCAACTACCGTCTGCAACTCGATCAAGAAATACCATCAGCAGGCACCAATCTTCCGATAAAAGCACGTCTTAAAAGCCATAAAGTTACTGAAAGCGAAGGAAGCGTGAAGACTAAATCGAATCCTTTCAGAAGCAATGAAAACGGACCCAGAGAACTCAGCGGATATGCTCAGACAACCATTGCATAAGGTTTGGAAGAAAGGAAAGGTATTTACCAGTTGAAAGGGCTGGTTTGACAAACTCTCAAAGAGTGACTTAAGCCTTTGCAGACACTGGTGCCGAACCATGCTGCTGTCCATCCCAAGAGAAATATTGAGCTGTATTGACCTGGAGACACTAAACGACGGCCTCAATATAAAACTCCGTCCGATAAAGGTTGAATGAACGGTAATAAGGCACGCGCGGACCAAAATGCAACATTGTAAGTCAAACAGAACGGCAGTCAGCTCTTTACTTCATTGGCACTGAAAAGGCTTGTGCAATAATTAGAAAGCCTTTTCAACACTTCAGAGTGCCGTTAACATATACAAATATTTAACAGATATATAATGATGCCATACGCTAATGTATTCACGACGGAAAGCCCTGAACCAGCAGAAAGTGATAGCAGAGAACCAGGTGCAATGGAGATGTGCTGCTGGAGCCCTATGTTTCAGGCAAAGGTTTGGTTGACATTTACAAAGGAAAACGTTTTCAGTTTCTGGAATGGACAGAAGCTAGATATCCAATACTAGAATATATCAATCTGCATACTACCTTATAGCAATTTACGTGATTATCAAATACGGGGAATGAGGATGACTTTTGGACATGTTTATTCAGTTGTCACTGTTTGTCGAAAAATTTCACAGATTTCGTTCCTCCCCTCCACATAAGTACTGGGATTCATATGAAGATTCTTTTTGATAATTATGTTCTACAATTCCAAGAGCTCTTTATATTTACGTTATGTACAATTCAACATCATCTAACTCATAGTGTTGTCACTGTTTAAATGCACAATGATTCAACTAATGATGAATAGTATACAACATTGTAAACATTAGTCGGTCATTTGCCTAATAATTTAAATTTCCTTCTAGAAAAACAAATATCAGACGTGGCTCCACAGCAGGTGAAAGTTCATAGCATTTTACTTACCAGACTATACACATTATGCTATCCTTTCGTCAAACGACCAATACTTAATTGCAGAGAAATAATTATTATAATTTGTTTTTAACCATGAAATGTGTAACCGAAGCATCCAAAACAATATTTACATTTCAACGATGAAAAATATCTGTATAAGAATTATGGACAGCAGTAATTTTTTTTACAGTTTTCTAATGAAGTTTAACATACGTGAATGTTATAATAAAAGAATAGAGAGAATGGTAGTAATTTTAAGAATCAGTTCCCTTGTTTTTACTTAACTTCTGTATTCAAAAAGATAATCCCGAAAACATGACAGCGATGTACTAATGTGATTACGGACAGAGAAAAACACAAATTCTTTTTTGGCACAAAATACCGCACAAGTGAATCAGTGGCTTACCAATTAGTTCAACACATTATCAACTTCGGCATGGAAATTTTATAAAAATGCAACGTTTTAATTCGATAATATATGAAGACTACATACTTCTATGAAATATCATGGAAATCTTAATATTCTATTCCAATATTTTCACCTTCCTGTGAATAGATATGCTCCCACTATTAGGTTGATAAGAGTGTCGGTTGGATAACTAATTAGTTAGCCTTTCATTTGAATAAGAGATCGTCTTAGTTTTTGCGAAGTTGTGAAAGAGGAAGCATAATATCTAATTTTAATCAAGCATCCAAATTAAGTTAATTTACACTTTGAGTGATAAATGATTTCGTGAAAAAAGCACTAGATTATTTCGATTGCTTCGGATTTTCTTTTCAACCACTGATAAAAACTAGACAGTTCTAGATGACCACATACATAGGATTAATAGATAAAGAAAGTTAATACAGATTTCAGGTACTTGTCACAAAAAACCCACTGAACATAATTTTTTTGGATACGTGCCTAGCTAGTTTATGCGATCGACTTTCATTTAGCGAATCTCAGGTGAGAGTCCCTCTCAACCTACTTGAACTTCGGCAGGTGGATAGCATCAGCAACCCTCACAGAAAGTGTGGCTCAGTCTGTAACATTAGAGACCTGTTTCAGGGAATGAATTCAAACAAACAGCATCTTTTAATATTTAAAAAACCACTATCGCAAAATATTTATTGCGAAGCAACCTAGTACGTTACAATTCGCAGTTGTGGAGTAAAATTGACAATGAGATTACATGCGCTTAACTTAGTTTTAGCAAAACATAACACCTTCAAATGCTGTTCTCAGCAGCGTAGAGGGATTTGGATTTTTAAATTATTACGATAATGTGTTCATATATTTTTGGACACGGCTCAAAATTCACATAATATATACCTTTGAACATGTCAAGCAAGCGTGCAAACGAAATATCAATCTCGGGGAAACATATGACGATGTCGGTAACATAACCACTATACTTCGTGCAGATTCCGTCCAATTAATACACGAGACTTCATATATTCATTCCCCTTAATGAATTTGAATAAAGTAAGGTCAACTAAATAGGTCGGGCTAGTCAGATTGTGGGAACAGGAATTTAGAGGTTAGAATGATTGACCCTGCGAAGATAAGCAAT